TGTCCTAAAATATTAATTGTTTTTGGAAAATTTAAATTTTTTTTTTATAGTATAATTATTACAATTCAAAAGTATTAACTTTTCAAAACTGACATTTGATAGTGCAATTATTATACTTCAAAAGTATTAATGTTAATGAATTTAAAAGAAAAGACAAAATAAAAATTCATATTATTTTAATTCTTGATTTTTGTGCGTACCGGATTCCGCACTAGATGAAAGTGGATCGGGGCTCCGCACTCGGTTGGACTATCCAGGGACTAAGGTTCCTGCCACAAGAAGTACCGTTAGAGCTGCCCAGCCGGGGTTGGCTGGATAACCCCTCTGATGTGGGAATTAGTGATCAGAGAAGAAGTGTATAGAGAGTTGAGTTTGTATCTAAGTATGATTTTGCTTGGAATAGTTCAGTTACCTTCAATGTGAAGTTCATGTTGTATATATAGTGTTCATTGCTTGCTTCTCAAGGTGGTTTCATGGAGCTTGGATGTTGCCAAGTGTCCTTTTAGCATTGCTCAAGGTGGGGGACCACCTGGTAGTTGTCATTGAATGCATATACTCATTGTAGTCATGCTGATAACTAACCACATTCCTTTGGTTCAACAACTTCCGTGATTCTAGGTATAGGGGACCAGCTGAGGTGGCAACTTGTACATGCACACATTCGCAACTTCCACGTTTCCCTGCAAGGTTTCCTCAGCTCGGTGCCGTTGTGCCTCAGCTCGGCATCATTATGCCTTGTCACGACCTTTTACAGGATCATTCATGGAGATGGGCCGATCCATTCATATATCTTTGTATGGGTCGGCTTGTTTCTGTTCGGCCCATGGATTAGGTTCTGCAGTTCGGCCCAGCCCAGCATCACAGCTGGATTAGCCTTCCCACTGCGGGTTGGGCCCAAGTGCTTGAGGACTTGGGCAAACTGTTGATCGAGGATTTGGGCTCAATTGGCTTGCCCATATATTCATCTAATCCATTTGGATTTGGGGCTTTAATGGATTGGGCCAACCCAAGGCTTGGATCTAGCCCATTTCATATTCAGCCCCTTTATTTGCCCTTTAGCTCACGCTAAGGTTCCCCTTGGGGGGAGCTATTGTCCTGCTCTCCAAGCGTCGGGTCGCTTCGGTTCTGCCCCAGTTCGGCCTTGGTGACGATTCAATCCTAACACACAACCCCTGCATGCATCCTTTCGAGATGACACGTGGCGACATGGGATAGGCGTGTAGAGATAGTGCGTCGATTCCATACCGAAGGTCATGCTTCGTGTACCTTCACGCCGGCTGGTGCAATAAATGCTCTGGCTATCAATACAAATCCTTTTATCTGCTTCTTCGTTCTTTTTAGAGAGTTTCAAAGAGAGGAGAAGAACCTTTCCCATTCCTCTGAACCAGTCTTGTTGGTGCTCTGCTCGGACTTGTTTGCCGTTGGTCGTGCTTTGCTACCACTTCTCTAATCTTTATAAGTCCTCTTATGATTCTTTTTCTCTTGCCTCTCTCTGTCTCAATCATCTTGTCTGGCCCTTGCTCTATTGTGTTCCGCATTCTGTTATCTGAGTCTTACCCCTGTCATATTAGGTTTGTTAGATGGGGAAGTTTCGCTCTCTAGTTGATACCCCCGAGGCCATGGCTATGTTCTGCCTGGACTATAATATTCCCGACGACGTTACCCTTTCACTAGCAAAGGTAGACGCCCAGCGTATGGACACGAGGAATACCGTCGCTTTTCTGATTGCGGCCATTGTCGAGGGAGGGGTTCGATTTCCCCTTGACCCGTTGGTGCGTCGGTTTCTGCATCAAATCCAGTTAACCCCAATGCAAGTATCCGTGAACCTTTTCCGTGTTGTCTGCAGCGTATCCGCCCTTAATAGACGGTTGGGTTTGAACCTTGACATATGGGATATCCTAGGTTGTGGCATGTCTGCCCTCAATAAACGATTGGGTTTGAACCTTGACATATGGGATATCTTAGGTTGTTACACTCTTTCCCATAACAAAGACCACAGCACGTATTACTTGCGTGTTCGCTCGTTCGATTGCCATTTGGTTACTGGGTTGACCGATTCGGATAAACACAACGATGATTTCCTGCAAGTTGGTGGCAACTGGGAGTTTCCCGTCGTAACTGAGTTCCAGTCTGAGCGGATGCCTCAGAAAGACGGCTATCCAGGTTCGGGCCTTTCCTTCTAGTGCCTTTTGTATTTCTTACTTTATTTTGGATGTCGCTCTAATGGGTCACTTCTTTTTTGCAGAGGCCTTTCGTTTCCAGCAAAGACCGAACCGGGAAAATACTGAAGCCATAAAAGCTGCCCTGAGGTATAAAAAAAGATTTGCACCTGAATTATTGGATTACCAGTCAACTTACCGCTCCATCATTCCAAAGAAGCGAGGCTCGCTGCTTTTCTTCTAGACTCTGATACCGAGACTGACACATCTCTCACTCCTTTGGTTACTAATCGTCGTAGGAGTCAAGGTACACTTTCTGAGAGAACGCCCTCTCCTGTCCCCAGTTTTGCAAGGGGCGGGTCTGTAGCGAAGAGAAGCGTGTTGGTGGATTTAGAGGCCGAGGCTTTCGGAGCCTCCGATGTTTTGGAAACCCCTCTAGAAAAAACCAAGGCGAAGAGCCTCATGGAAGTGAAGATGGAGGTGGGGGCTTCTTGGAACCCTGCGACTGCTGCCGAGCCCTCAGCTTCGGTAGCTGCGCGAGCAAAAAAGAGAAGAAGAGAGGCTGGCAAAGCAGTGGTGGGGGAAGCTTCTGAGGATCCTGCTGAGAATGAGGCATTTGAGAAATAGGAGCCGTCAATGTTGCATAAAGGCAGGCCCATTTCCACTTCTGATTCAGTTGTTGCTTCACAAGATTTTGCTTTTGATTTGACTAAGTTTTTGTTGATGTCGGTTGACATGGCTGACCATAATGGGCCCCGTGATAACCCTATCCTGAAGGGAACCCTTCAGATGATGACTGCTGTAAGTGCTTCCTCGTTTTACTTGTCTTTATTGTTGTATTGCTATTTCCTTTTCTCTTAATTCTTCGTTGGCCTTTGCAGTGTATCCAGAGGATGCACCTGTCCATTACCCGTGTTAAAGAGCTAGAAAGGGTCGTGCTGGAGGCCGCAATGAACGCTGAGAGACTAATGGTAAGCTTGGAGACAGAGAAAGAAGGACACCGAACTGCGGAGAGGGAAACATTTCGTTTGAACAAGATTGTCGCTTCAGCTAAAAAATCGAAGGAGGCTACTATTGGGACACAGGCTCAACTTGAGTGGAAGGTGGCCGAACTGGAGGCCGTTATTGTCATGATGGCTGCCGAGCGTTCTGCGCTGGAGGCCAAACACTGGCAACAAGGCTGGGATGAGGCTGGGGCTGCCTATAAGGAAGAGGTACTAGTGCTGCGAGATAAGCTCTTTCTAAAGGGATGGACGAGTGCTTTGGCTGCTGCGCTGGTTCCTAAAGGCTCTTCCCTGTTTCAGGATGTCCCAGTTCCTTCAAGATCCTTGGGCTCAAAGACTGTCTCTGCCCCCGCTGTTCTTCCAGCTAAAGTTTCCCCAGAAGTTGATTCTACAAACAAGACCCAGGACAGTAATGTTGCCGCTGAAACGGTGAATGTTGAAGGGATTGAAACCCTGGAGACCGAAGCCGTGGGAGATATGGTTAAGGAGGCTTCTACTTCTCAGAAAGTTGGAGCTGCCTCTACTTTTCCTCCCCAAGGCGGCCTGGGCAAAATTGCAGATGTTGTTCCTGAGGTTCCCTCTGTTAATGAAAGTTGAAGTTGAAAGGATTTGAACTTTTTTGCTTTTCTGTTTTGATGTATTGTGGCTCAGTCTCCATGACGAGCTTTCTTTCTGCACTTGTCAAGACAATTTTACTTTTCTCTTTTCTTTTCTTTGTTGCTGGTTATGAGGCCACCTGTGCCTTTTGTTGGATGACAAGATTTTCTCCTTGAATTTGAAATCTGATATTGTTTGGCTTTTATGTCTTAATGTTTTCTATACTGTTTGCCCCCGGCCGAGCACTATTGGGAGCTCGGGGCCGAATAGATGCTCGGTATGGTTCTGTACTGCTTGAAATAGATGCTCTGTCTAATTCTATACTGCTTGCCCCCGGCCGAGCACTGTTAGGACCTCGGGCCGAATAGAGGCTCAGTCTAGTTCTGTACTGTTTGCCCCCGGCCGAGCACTGTTGGGACCTCAGGGTCGAACAGATGCTCGGTGTGGCTAACCAATATGTGGTATGGTTGTGCTTGAGTTCGTAAGAGGGTCTTACATAAGTCCAGGTTGGTTTTTGTTTTTGTTTTTTTAAAAAAAAAAAAAAAACAATTGTTTGCCCCCACCTAGAGCTAAGTAAGATTGGTACTGAAGATTGTGCTCTTAGGTAGAACTGCTTAAATATGTTTCAACTTTGATAGCACAGATGCATTTGAATAGGATAAAAGCATGGAAAGGTGTCTTACTCAGGTCCAGGTTGGTTTGAAAAAACAATTGTTTGCCCCCACCTGGAGTTTGAGTAAGACTAATGATGAAAGTTTGCTCCTGACAGAGCTTGGCCGCGTTTGTTCCAACTCTGTTTGTTTGCATCAGTAATGAAGTGTTGATGCGTAGACACTTAAGGAATTCTGTGGATTCAAAGATGTTTACTTAAGATATGTTAGTGTGGTTTCCACCAAGCAATTCCACTTGGCTAAAGTCCAATTTAGTTGCCAAACATTATTCCACCAAGCAATACCACTTGGGTTAAGACCAAAGTTAACTCCGTTTGATAAATATCAAAGCTAATTCTGTTTGGTAAGAACCAAAGCTAATTCCATTTGATAAACATCAAAGCTAATCCTGTTTGGTAAGAACCAAAGCTAATTCCATTTGATAAACATCAAAGCTAATTACAAGTATTTAATAAATTTGAGAGAAGTTGGGAAGCATTTGCATTGGTCAACAGATAAATGCCTTTACATTCTGATAGAGAAGTTGGGGGATAATTCTATTGATAGTATTTCTTGAGATTTGCTACATTCTAGGGCCGAGGTATAGCTCTGCCTTTCAGATCCTTTAGGTAGTAAACTCCATTTCTAACAATAACTGTGACTTTGTAGGGACCCTCCCAGTTAGGCCCAAGTTTCCCCTCGCCAAGCACCCTTTTGTGATCCATAACTTTCCTCAAAACCAGTTCTCCTGGTGTAAATTGCCTTGGAAAAACTTTTTGGTTGAAACTCTTGATGAGCTGCTGCTGGTACCCTACAAGTCTAGTCAGTGCTGCTTCTCTTCGGCCCTCTGCCATATCCAGTGTTTGTGCAATAGCTTCCTCATTACTGGTGTTCTCAAATAATTCAAACCGAAGGCTTGGGAGAACTACTTCGACTGGGATGACGGCCTCCATTCCATAAGTTAGGGAGTAAGGTGTTTCCCCCGTTGAGCGCCGTGCTGTGGTTCGGTATGCCCATAGCACGTGGGGTAACTCTTCAACCCATTTTCCCTTGGCATGCTCAAGCCGCTTCTTTACTCCGTTGATGATGGTTTTGTTTGACGCTTCTGCCTGTCCATTGCTTTGCGGGTACCCTGGAGAAGAGTTCCTATACTCGATCCTGAGGTCGGCACAAAACTTTCTGAAGATCTTACCTTCGAACTGCGTTCCATTATCCGCAATCAGTACCCGCGGGATGTCGAAACGCACCACCACGTTTCTCATGACAAACCACTTTGTATCCGCTTCTTTGAGACTTGCCAATGCCTCGACTTCAACCCACTTAGTAAAATAGTCGGTTGCAGCAATGAAGAATCGCCTGTTCCCAGTGCCTCGCGCCAATGGTCCGATAATATCCAAACCCTATTGGGCAAAGGGCCATGGGCTGGTGAGTGGAGTGAGAGTTTTGGTTGGCTGATGAATGAATGGAGCAAACCTCTGACATTTATCACACTTCTGTACGTACTGTTACGCATCTTATTGCATCCGTCGCCACCAATACCCGTGAGTGAGGGCTCGATGCGCCAGTGATCTTCCGCTAACGTGGCATCCACAAATCCCATCGTGAATTTCGTAGAGAACATTCTCGACCAGATTTGGATGCACGCATAGAAGATAAGGGCCAAGAGAGGAGCGTCTGTACAGCTTCCCGGATGGTGAGATACAAAACCGAGCTGACTTATGTCTGACTTTGTTAGCTTCCTTTTTGTCTTCGGGGAGAGTACCAGATTTTAGAAAAGCAAGTATTGGACCCATCCAGCTCGACTCTAAGCTGCTGCAGAGGACTGGAGATGCAATGCTTGGTTCTGGCACGAACTCAACCCAAACTTTTCTGGCATCTTTAGTATCCACTGATGAGTCAAGACAAACCAAAGCATCAGCATGGCTGTTTTTGTCCCGACTAATTCGTTCCACTCGTATGGATTGAAAATTTTTGAGTAAGTCTTTGGCCTTGCCTGCGTACATGGCCATTCTTTCATCCTGCGTTTCAAAGACCCCAGAAAGCTGGTTTACCACTAGCTGTGAATCGCTGAAAACAAGAAGCTGCTCTGCACTGAAGTGTTCGGCACTGCGTAAGCCAACCAACAACGCTTCGTACTCTGCCTCGTTGTTCGAAGCCTTCCAACCGAGCCTGAGAGTCTGTTCCCAGATAAATCCTTCTGGTGAGATAAGTACTACTCCTGTCCCCGAACCTCGATTATTGAACGACCCGTCAACATAGAGCTGGAAGATGTTTCCAATGAAGAGTTTCCAGGCTTCCGAAGCGCAGGGCTTTCCTTGTTCGGTGATACGTGGCACCTGTGCCAAACTAGGATTCCTTGGTTCGGTACTCTGGGTGGGAGCAAATTCTACGACGAAATCTGCTAAGACCTGGGCCTTAATTGCTGTCCCGGGTTGATACCGAATGTCAAACTCGCCAAGTTCTACCGCCCATTTTGCTATTCGACCAGAGAAATCGGCCCGGCTAAATACAGATCTGAGGGGGAATTCAGTGAGGACATTGATGGTATGCCCCTGGAAGTAATGCTGTAGCTTCCTCGAGGCGATAAGCAGGACGTAAGCTAACTTTTCCAATGGTAGATACCGTGTCTCGGCATCTAGTAAAGTCTTGCTAACATAGTATACAAGCCTCTATTCCTTGTTAACTTCTCGAATTAATACTGGGCTGACGGCATGATCTGAGACTGCTAAATAGAGGTACAGCTCCTCTCCTGGTTCTGGAGTGGATAGAAGAGGAGGTATGCTGAGGTATCTTTTGAGACTTTGCAGTGCTTCGATACACTCGCAACTCCATTCAAATTCTGCCATTTTCCTCAAAAGCTGGAAGAAGGGCTTCATCCGATCTGAAGATTTGCTGATGAACTGATTCAGTGCGGCCGCCATGCCAGCCAGTTTCTGCAGCTCTTTAGCCTTTGTTAGTACTTCAAGATCTTGTATTGCTTTTATTTGGTCCGGATTCGCCTCGATTCCTCTGTGAGTGACCATATATCCCAAGAACTTCCCTGTTCCTACCCCGAAAGCGCATTTCGAGGCATTGAGGCGAAGTTGATGGTTTTTCAAGATGCCAAAAACTTCTCTCAAGTCTGTAAGGTGGTCTGTAGCGAACTTGCTCTTTACTACCATATCATCTATATAAGCTTCCATGGTTTTCCCGAGTTGGTCTTTGAACATCCGAGTGATCATCCGTTGGTAGGTTGCCCCGGCATTCTTGAGGCCGAACGGTATCACTTTGTAGCAGTAAGTTCCTCTCGGAGTGATAAATGCTGTCTTTTCTTGATCCGGACCGAACAGTGGTATCTGATGATAGCCGCTATAACCGTCCAAAAAGCTCATGCGCTCATGCCCTGCTGTTGAGTCTACTAGTTAATCAATGCAAGGCAGCGAAAAACTATCTTTAGGGTAGGCTTTGTTCAAGCAAGTGAAGTCAACGCAAACTCTCCATTTTCCGCTCTTCTTTTTTACTACAACTGTGTTGGACAGCCATTGCGGGTACTAAACTTCTCTGATTGCTCCTGATGCCAGGAGTTTTTCAACTTCGGCAATTACTGCTTCGGTGTGCTCAACTGAGGATCTCCGACTTTTCTGTACAACGGGCCGAGCTGAAGGGTTGATGTTGAGCTTGTGGCAAGCAAATTCTGGGTCCTAGAGTATTATATGCTGACCATGCGAATACCTCCATATTTTCCCTCAGCAGTTCCAGCAGCTGAAGTTTCTCATCAGCGCTGGGGATGGCAATTTGAACCCGGCCCGACGGGGACCCGACCCCCCGATCTTGATTTAAACTATTTTTTTCCAAAAAATATCTCCGACGGGACAGGGATGGTATTAAAAAATCAATCCCTGATCACTTTCGGACCGGGGACGGGGATCAGTGTCCAAGCACCGTCCCCGTCCCCGTCCCCGTCTTCATCCCCAGTTTGTTCCTGACATAAAATTACCATTTTACCCCTATATTTATATATATAAAATTAAACCCTAAAACATTACACATGACCACTGCTTCTCTCCATCTTCTCTCTGGGTTTCTCTCTTCCCTCTCTTCATCTTCTCTCTCGGTTTCTCTCTTCGATGAAAGGAAGCAGTCGGCGTACGTGACAGGGAGAAGCAGTCGATGAAGCAGTCGGCGTACGTGACAGTCGGCGACAAAGCAGTCGGTGTCGGAGGCAGTCGATGAAACAGTCAACGAAGCAGCAGGGTAACGAAGGAAAGCAGTCGGAGGCGGCGTCTGTTGATGATGCCGATCGTCCACTCTCACTCACTCTCTCTCTCTCTCTCTCTCTCTCTCTCTCTCTCTCTCTCTCTCTCTCTGCGACAGTGACAAAGATCTCAGATCTGTTCAGATCTGTTTGTGTATGTATCTACACATGTATGTCATCTGTCTATTTTATTTTTTTTGGTTTATGATCTGTTGATCATTTTGTTGATATTGATGATTCTGTTGATGATATTGATGATGATTCAGTTGTTGTTGCTGTTGTTGTTAATGGTGGTGTTGAAACAGATTTAGGGGGGATTTTCGGGGTCAGGAAAACCCGATCCCCGTTAGGGGGCAAGGATTGGGACACTGGTAGGTTCCCCATTGGGGGTCGGGGCCAGGACCGGAGAGATTTTCATAATCGGGGATCAGGGATGAGAAGTGTGATCCCCGGCCCCGCCCCGTCCCGTTGCCATTCCTAATCAGCACCTAGCGAGGTACCGATAAGGAAGTACTTTTTTGGATCATTCCCCTTTACCAGGACTCTCTCCAAATCTTCTACTATCTTTTCCTCTAGGGCTCCCCTACATCTTCCAAGACTGGCTGTTCGGCTATTTCTACTGTCTGTACCCGATTGCAGAGCTGCTTTGCCTTTAATGCTGCCATGAAACAATGTTTGGACGCAACTTTATCCCCTGAGATCTGCTCTACTCTGTGTACCGTGTTCCGTTGGGAAACGGATGAGCTGGTGATAGGTTGAAGGGACCGCCTCCATTTGATGAATCCATGGACGGCCAAGTATGGCGTTGTAAGGGGATGGTGTATTAATAACTAAGAACTCTATCTGGAGGGTTTTTGTTCTTGCCATGACTGGCAACACTATTTTGCCAAGCGGCCATTCTGGCTGTGAATTGAAACCAACCAACGGGGCTGTCGCTAGGGTGAGGTGCTGCGGGTTGGGCCTAAGTGCTTGAAGACTTGGGCAGACTGTTGATCGAGGATTTGGGCTCAATTGGCTTGCCCATATATTCATTTAATCCATTTGGATTTGGGGCTTTAATGGATTGGGCCGGCCAAAGGCTTAGATCCAACCCATTTCATATTCAGCCCCTTCATTTGCCCCCTAGTTCGCTCGCGTTAAGGTTCCCGTTGGGGGGAGCTATTGTTTTGCTCTCCAAGCGTCACGTCGCTTCGGTTCTGCTTTAGTTCGGCCTTGTTGACGATTCAATCCTGACACACAACCCCTGCATGCGTCCTTTCGAGGTGACACGTGGCGACGTAGGATAGGCGTGCAGAGATAGTGCGTCGATTCCATACTGAAGGTCGTGCTTTGTGTACCTTCACGTCAGCTGGTGCAATAAATGCTCTGGCTGTCAATACAAATCCTTTTATCTGCTTCTTCGTTCTTTTTAAAGAGTTTCAAATAGAGGAGAAGAACCTTTCCTATTCCTCTGAACCAGTCTCGTTGGTGCTCTGCTCGGACTTGTTTGCCGTTGGTCGTGCTTTGCTACCACTTCTCTAATCTCTGTAAGTCCTCTTGTGATTCTTTTTCTCTTGCCTCTCTCTGTCTCAATCATCTTCTCTGGCCCTTGCTCTGTTGTGTTCCGCATTCTGTTATCTGAGTCTTACCCCTGTCTTATTAGGTTTGTTAGATGGGGAAGGTTCGCCCTCTAGTTGATACCCCCGAGGCCATGGCTATGTTTCGCTTGGACTATAATATTTCCGACAACGTTACCCTTTCGCTGGAGAAGGTAGACACCAAGCGTATGGGCACGAGGAATATCGTCGCTTTTCCGATTGCGGCCATTGTCGAGAAAGGGGTTTGGTTTCCCCTTGACCCGTTGGTGTGTCGGTTTCTGCATCAAGTCCAGCTAACCCCAATGCAAGTATCTGTGAACCTTTTCTGTGTTATCTGCAGCGTATCTGCCCTTAATAGACGGGTTGGGTTTGAACCTTGACATATGGGATATCTTAGGTTGTTATACTCTTTCTCATAACAAAAACCACAGCACATATTACTTGCGTGTTCACTCGTTCGGTTGCCATTTGGTTACTAGGTTACCCGATTCGGATAAACACAACGATGATTTCCTGCAAGTTGGTGGCAACTGGGAGTTTCTCGCCGAAACTGAGTTCTAGTCTGAGCGGATGCCTCAGAAAGACGACTATCCAGGTTCAGGCCTTTTCTTCTAGTGCCTTTTGTATTTCTTACTTTATTTTGGATGTCACTCTAATGGGTCACTTCTTTTTTACAGAGGCCTCTCGTTTTCAACGAAGACCGAACCGGGAAAGGCTAAAGCCATAAAAGCTGCCCTGAGGTATAAAAAGAGATCTGCACCCGAGTTATTGGATTACCAGTCAAGTTACCGCTCCACCATTCCAAAGAAGGCGAGGCTCGCTGCTTTTCTTCTGGACTCTAATACCGAGACTAACACATCTCTCACTCCATGGGTTACTAATCGTCGCAGGAGTCAAGGTACACTTTTTGAGAGAACGCCCTCTCCTGTCCCTAGTTTCGTAGGGGGCGAGTTTGTGGCGAAGAGAAGGGTGTTGGTGGATTTAGAGGCCGAGGCTTTCGGAGCCTCCGATGTTTTGGAAACCCCTTCAGAAAAGACCGAGGGAAAAAGCCTCATGGAAGTGAAAATGGAGGTGGGAGCTTCTTGGACCCCTGCGACTGCTGCCAAGCCCTCAGCTTCGGTTGCTGTGCGAGCAAAAAAGAGAAAAAGAGAGGCTGGCAAAGCAGTGGTGGGGGAAACTTCTGAGGATCCTGTTGAGGATGAGGCATTTGAGAAATGGGAGCCGCCAATGTCGCATAAAGGCATGCCCATTTCCACTTCTGATTCAGTTGTTGCTTTACCAGATTTTGTTTTTGATTTGACTAAGTTTTTGTCAATGCCGATTGACATGGCTGACCATAATGGGCCCCATGATATTCCTATCCTGAAGGGGACCCTTCAGATGATGACTGTTGTAAGTGTTTCCTCATTTTACTTGTCTTTATTGTTGTATTGCTATTTCCTTTTCTCTTAATTCTTCGTTGCCCTTTGCAGTGTATCCAGAGGATGCACCTGTCCATTACCCGTGCTGAAAAGCTAGAAAGGGCTATGTTGGAGGCTACAATGAACGCTGAGAGACTGACGGTAAGCTTGGTGACAGAGAAAGAAGGACGCCAAACTGCGGAGAGGGAAGCATTTCGTTTGAACAAGATTGTCGCTTCAACTGAAAAATCGAAGGAGGCTGCTATTGGGACACAGGCTCAACTCGAGGGGAAGGTGGCCGAACTGGAGGCCGTTATTGCTGTAGACACCCCATTTTTGACCGTCCTCAAGACTTGGACGTCACCGTTCGAACGCTCGGTGATCATCCATGTTCGTGTTCGTTTTGAGTTCCCGGAGGCCTCGGCCGCGCACCTTGCCTCAGGATCTCTTAACTTGCCTGTTCTGTGCTTTGGTTTTGCACTAGGGACTTGTGTTTTGTGCTTCTGAGGGTGGGAAGAGGCTTGTTAGCCATCCCTGAAACCCACCGGCCGTGGCATGAAGCCACCAACCTTTCCTTTTTCCTACCGACCAAATGTTTGGTCGGTCGGCACTTATCTGAGGTGTATCAGCATTTTGTGTGGTCGGCCGACCATGTATTTGGCCGGTGGTCTCTTTTTTTGGCCAGCACCTCCTTTTCGCCTTTTTCAGGCATTGTGCATGCCAGATGTGCCAGTTGGAGTGCACGGACCTGTCCTCCATACACGTGTATTAAGGAATTACACCATTTGCACCCTTTTGGTCTAGCTTCTTGGGGAAGCTTGGACCTTTGTCTTAGCTTCCTCAAGAAGCTTAGACACCTATCTCAGCTTCCTAAGGAAGCCTTGGCCCCTTTGCCTTAGCTTCTTTTAGAAGCCTTGACCCCTTTTGTTAGCTTCTCTTGGAAGCTTAAGCCTCCATCTTGCTCTATATAAGGAGACCTTCCCTCTCCTTTGAAGGGGTTCAGCAAAACTAGACCTAATACATATATATCTGATATATAAACCACTCTCTCTCAATATCTCCCTCTCTCTCTTCATTTGTGTGTGTTAGAGAGCCTTAAAGTGTGTTTTGTTCTTAGTTTTGCACTAAGGCACCTAATATTACACCATACTTGGGTTATT